TAGGGTTTGTAGGGTCAGACATAGATCAGTCTTTTTCAGTCAGGGTGCTCAGGGTGCTAGTTCCATACAGGGACGAGAGTTTGTGTCGGACTCTGTCGTGCCAGCTTTGTTCGTTATACGAAGTGTAAACCATCAACCTGTGCTGCACGAGACATGAGACTTGGCCAGGGCCCGCAAACTCCGATTGGAGCCTAGGTTCTCAGCAGCTTGGAAGTTTTTCCGTCGAGTTCACAAATCGAACCATGCATAACCATGCGCACGCCACCATAAATTCTGGGTTGGTTTACCTGTGTCTTCGCCACTGCGATAAAGCTTTCAGGGGCTGCACGTGTTGGTCGATGTGTGGCGCAAAAGGAGTACAGAAACCATCACGCCGTGACATCACAAAGCTAAACATCTGAAGCCTTGAGGCCTCATGCGGGATCATGTGTAGTACTTCGCCCATCAGACTTGGGGCCATGGGCCCTTTGAGCGGGTCCAAAGTCTAAAGTCTAAAGTCAGTCCAAGATCGTGAGAGCCCTGCCGTTCTTCCAAAACCTCAAACGCGATGCTCCTATACCATCCTTGATCCCAGAACCCGCACACTGAAGCCCTCTACCCAGGCCGTGCCGCTGCCTTTGGAGGCCGTCGTTAGCAACCTCACCCACCGAGCAGAACAGCGCCTGGGGTTTGGCATTCAGGTTTGGGGCTCAAGCTTTTTGGTTGTAGCAGGCGGGGGGGTGTCATTCAAGTTGGCAAAGGTTGCGCCGATGAAGTGTTGAGTTGCGGGCTTGATTTCAGAGAGGCATCTCGGGACGTGTAGGGTGGAGTTTTGACGTCTTTGTTTTTCTTCTAATTCGGCGTCTGCATTTTCTGACGAAGGACTTCATGTGTTTACCCTAATGTCATGCAGCGTTGTGTTGGAAGTTTTCTATTGGACAGGCGCCCGTCATTTCCTAGCCGAGGAAGTGCTTGGAGTGAGTATAATTGACGGAAATGAGAGAATCGGCTGCTACCCTCAAATCTCAACCTGACATTTTGTTCAACTCCGAGGTCTTTAAGTACTCTGAATGTGAAGCTTGAGCTCCAGAGTGGCAGTCGTAACGGGACGTTCGGCTGTATTTTTGTGCAACCACCTTCTATAGGTACACATCCCCTGCCCTGCTTGTTTAGGTGCGCAGAGCTTGCAGAGGAACTGGAACAGGATGGGAGAGTCAATTCTTGCCTTTGCCATTCGGAACCTGTGGCTTCGAGCCCCCCGAATCGTCGCTGCAACCGTTACAGGGTTTGTTGTGGAGTGTGTTTGTGTGCATTGGTGTGTGTGTGTGTGTGTGTGTGTGTGTGTGTGTGTGTGTGTGTGTGTGTGTGTGTGTGTGTGTGTGTGTGTGTGTGTGTGTGTGTGTGTGTGTCTGTGTTTGTGTGTGTGTGTCTGTGTGTGTGTG